GAAACTATTCATATACAATTAAATAAATCAAACAACAAGTGAAGAGAAAAAAAACAGGCAACTTTTCCCTATTAATTACATAATAGCAGTCAAACCAGAACAAGACAAAAGCAAGCATAAAACAAACAGTTTTACTATGCATTTCATGCACGTCACATATGTATATTTTAATTGAAAAATAAAAATCTCACCCTAAATGTCATGAAATAATAGTATGCTGTCTCGTATTTTATGAAATCATTAATACGTTGGTTTTTATTTTGTTGTCAAAAACGTTTGGAACGGCCACTAAACCTTATGAAAGGCTCCCACCAATCAAGGTGAAGGTTCTGGCGGTGTAAGTGTGCCAGGCCATTTAGAGGATGAGGGCCTTGCCTTCCTGACACCTCCCTCCACCCTGGTGCCAATTCTTGATCCGACCACAGTAGAGATGAAGTCTTCTGGGTGTTGAGGACTCTCTCCAATCAGAAGTTGCTGTAAAGAAGATGATAAATATCATAATAGAGCAACAAAATGTTGGAAAACAATATTGATATGGTTGCCTTAACACACACAGACATCAACTTATGAGAGAAGTGGAAAATATGCTACAAGGTATAAAAAACCATGAACGCAGTTTCCAGGTTATAAAACAACATTAAATCTACTCATAGTATCACGGTCGGTATCTGATGCAAATTGGTTGCTTACATTTAATTAGATGAAGCATTGAAGGCTCCTTAAAGAATCCTGAGCTGCACTGCCTCTGATGACTCTGGTCTTGGGTCCATGTGGTTCTGGTTCTGTGGTGCATGGAGAGAACACTGTAACACCAATGGGCAATACATACAATCCACAATGGCTTGTTGTCTGAAAATGCTGTAGCACTAAAGTGGAATGATCTTATAATGTGGGATAAAAAGGCTTTGTTTAATTGGGTAATTAGACAAAATCAGTCACTTGTTGATAGGAATATTTATTATTATTATTATTTATTATGATGGCTTTAAATGTGAATAGATCATATTTGAAATATTTAGAAAAACACAAGGATAAAATGAAATGCTGAACTGTGAAGTTCAACAGCAACCATGATTTATAAAGTATGTAAGAAAAATCCTAATTGCACATTCTGAAATAGGAACCAGTAAGAGTATGAACCAGTGGAAAGTAGTTTCAAATGAAAGAAGAAGCAGCATATTGTAGCTGTATCCATATGAACTAATAACATATCATACCATCAATGGATGAAACATGTGGAAGAAAGTCTGAATTACATTTTACAGGTGTGTTTTTGTCCAAGTGTGTTTGAAGCAAAGCTAATTATGATATACTTCTTTAGGTCAGATGTTTATAGTGATTTGTTTTAATACAATGAATATTTGTTTTATATTCTAAACTGCTGAAGGTGTTCCCAAATCCAAAAGAAGGTGTAGAATAACATGTATTTTGATATGAAAACTTGTCAAAGGCCAAAACATTTGCTGTGGTTTCAGACCTTGAATAAAGAAATGAAGAACATTAGCTAATGATAATGTTTTAACCCCGATTGTAAACCCAACGAGAACTGAGTGAAATGAGTCTGGAAACTGAGGAGCACATTTACTTCATCTTTTAAAACAGTGAACCACAGTCTAGTGATGTGCTCTTGTTCATTTCAGATTGTCTTTACTCACCCATCAAGCGCAGAGTCTTTGTGTTCTTCTTGTCTATAAGAGGAAGCAAGATGTTAGTCTTACATCTTTTTATTTCTGTAATGATGTGTTGAACAGCAGATACAACTCCCTGTATTTAGCCTTAACTGTCAATAATGTACATAAGCTATTTCTTATGTAATACTGCACACTTGAGCCAAATGTGTTCATCAATAATACAACTGTTAATCATGTAACAGTTTTCATTAAGCTTTTATCTGTCAAGAAAAGCTAAATTAATTGCAAATAAAAAATGTATCCTTATCTAGTTTATTGCTGGCTAGCAGCTGCAACAGT